TATATATACTGTATAAATATTAAAAGATATGTCAGTGCTAATTGCATAATGAAAAAAGGGGCTTTGCCTGTTCAAATTGGAGCTGTCCCAGAACAATAATGCCTTCGTAAAAGTTTGGTTTTTTTTTTTTTTTGGAAAGGGTAAAAGTTTGGTTTAATCTTCGGTACTTCTTCAAATTTGATAGAAGAGAGACAAATTGTTAGGAGAAGTTTGAGTTTGATTAAATAATATAATTAGTTTTCTTTTTTTTTTTGAGAAGAAGAAATCAATGCATTAAATCATCGGAAAGACATCCAACAAGGAAATATATTAAATATTTAATTTTAATGAAATAACTAATTAAGAAATTAATTAAATTTTGTAAAAAAAGAAATTTAATTTGATCAATGTTGGTCTTTATTTTTAATGAAGTGTTGCATTGTGATTTGTTGTCGATATATAACACCTATACCGTGCATTAAATATTTATCCTTGGTTTGTAATATGCTAATCTTTTAGAAAATAACTTTTTAGTCTTTTAATTATATATGTCATTTTTGTCATATACTTTAAAAGATTATAAATGTCACCCAATTTTATAGGAATATTGAAAATTTGATCCCTTAGCTTCATGAATAGAACTCTTTAACGTTGTTAAGGCTTTGTCGTTGGTATAAAAGAAGTGAAATTACTTAAATGTCCATATATACTGTAAAATTCATTACATTAGAAAACGTTGTTCATCAAGAATTGAAATTACAATTTTTTTTGTAAAATTAAGGAGTGACATTTGCATCTTATGAAAATGAGATATCAAAATAGTTAATGGCATATAATTAGAAGATTTAAAAAAAAAAAAAAATCCCCTATGTTTAAATTGTCATAAACTGCGAATGACATTGTGGTCTAGTGGCACGAAGTGACTCTTCCAAATATGAGACCATGGGTTTGATCCCAGTGGAGTCTGTATTGACTTTTTGTGCTTCAATAAGTTGTAACAGAGTCAGTAATACTAAAAAAAAATTGTCAGTAAACTACTTTTGTAATATAAACATCGAATCATTGATGGTATGGTATGCTCAAGTATCTCTCATCATCAAAATTTCAGGATAAGGCTCTCAAGATTAAAATGCAAACTTTTAAAATAAAATTTTAACTTCAAAATTGGAAAAAGAAAACATTTGAATATAAAATGGGTCTCATTAATAGAAATGGGCCTATGAAAATTGGAAGTTTGGAAAGAATTTTCTTGTTGTTATAAAAAACTTTAGGCCTATTTCGAAGGTGTATAGGCTAATATTGGAATATAAATTGTTGTATTATGTATTGGGTTTACTATGCATATGGTATAATTGTTATGCCATCGACTGAGTCCACCTTGCAAGGTGGGCTCAGGTCCAAAACGACGCAATTTGCACGTGTGAAAATAACGGTACCGTTTCCTCAACCAATTATTTTTTTAAAAAAAATTAATAAAAACAACTCAACGAGTGAATATTCAGTTCTAAAATTGTGAATATTTAGTTCTTTAATTTTGTATATTTAGACCTAAAATTGTGAATATTCAATTCTAAAATTATGAATATAGAGTTCAAAAACTCTGAATATAGAAGAACGAATTCTGAAGACAAACGGCAATGAAGGAAGCAATTTTTTTTTTAAAATTCAGACGACGTCGTTTTGAAACAAAACGACGCCGTTTTGGACCTATGTCCACCTTGCAAAGTAGACCTGGGCCCATAGCATAATTTGCCGTATGGTAGATGCCGTCCAGATTATATATCTACAATTAGCATAGTATATACACTCCATTTATTTAGAAATACATAATTTGTTAAGTAAATGTACATAATATATAAAATGTATATAAATAATATGAATATTGTTTTGGACCAAGCTTAACATAGCTAAGTGGAACCTGATCCATGGTATAATTTGCAAATGTTATTGGATTGTAAGGAGAAATGGCCCAATGGGTAACGATGGTTCTGCATTTTATAAAATTCAATTAATTGTAATATATTATTTACTCACCGAATGCCTAAACCAATACATTAAACACCCACAAATAATTGCTCTTTTTTTTTGTGTGTGTGTGTGTGTGTGTGTAGTACAAAGAATTAAATGGAACGAGGTTTTGTACCTTACGCTTTATAAACCGTACATTTCACTATTTTCTTATAAAAAAATAATATCCCCGTTGCTTAACGCCATTTTTTTTTTTTTTTCATGTTTCACTATACGTAACGACTCTGATTAACATGAGTATTGCACACGCCCACGTGAGCAGCTTAGGTGGTCACATATCACATATGTGAAATTTAAAAAAAAATGATCAAGGATTGAGTCTCATCGCAAGGCAGATGTTGGATATTCAACCTTTTGGAAAGAATGAAAAAAGATTGGGGATCGATATTGGCAGTCAACTTATAATTGATTGTGTTAACTATTTTGATCAACTGATAGTATTACCTAGTTATAGAAAGATATTTGATAAATTAGTTATTTAGGCCACCTGGTGCGATCGGGCTCTGGGCGAGTTCAGATGATATTAAAAATTAAATAAATATAAACATTATAATAATAAATAACTATTAAGAGTAAATATGACTTTTTAAACTGAAATGCTATAAATTGATATCAATAAGCTACTCAAAGTAGCTTTTTCATGTTCAGCTTATTAGTTCTGCAAGGGTTTGTAAATAATCAAGCCCAATTAATTTTCCTTTGAAACGACATCACTTTTTCCCCCACATATGTGATTCTTTTCTAAAGATTTGACAAATCCCACTTATGTCAACCGACACTTCGAATCATTAAAGCATATAAGCATGCTAGCCTCATGCGCGAGTAGCTATTTCAACGAGTGGTTAGGAGTTCGAGACCCTCGTAGTGATATGCTTCGTTCTAAAATGTAGTAGTCCCATTGAACTTAGTTGCTAGCTAGGTTGGGTATCCACATTAGAACTTTTAGTTCAAGGGCTTTAATTAGTCCATTCATCATTACAACTTCTCAATCAACTCTCTATTTAACCCTGTGGTTAATTGATCCGCTATGTTATCTTCTGACTTTACATAGTCAAGCGAGATAATGCATGTTGTGGGAAATTGTTTAATGGTATTATGTCTACAATGTATATGTCTAGACTTACTATTATACATGTTACAATGTATACTTCTAATTGTAGCTTGACTATCGCAATTCACACAATTTGGAGGTACACCTTTTTTCCAACTAGGAATATTCTCGAGAAAATGACGTAGTCATTCATCCCCTTAGAAACATTTATCTAAAGCTATCATGTCAAATTTTATCCTAGTTTGTTTCAAGGATTTCCAAGATACGACTGCACCAACTAACATAAACACATAGTCACTCGTGGACTTGAAGTCCTTAATATCTTATATCGAATTAACATTGTTATATCCTTTTAGTACAACAGGATATCTTGTATATTGCATTACAATGTTACGAGTATACCTTAAGTATCTTATAACCCTCACTATTGCCTTTTAGTGAATATCACCAAGGTTACTCGTATATCTACTAAGTTTGCTAACCGCAAATGTAATATTCAGCCTAGTACGTACAACTCATTAGATACATTAAACTATTAATAATACTATCGTTTTCTACTTGAGAAATACACTCTCTATGATTTTTGGATCGATGTATGTTTGTATCTAATGATGTCTTAGCCAATTGATTATCTTCATTGTTAAATTTTATAAGAATTTTATAATGAGTTTGGCTTAACACAAGACAATATGGTCTTTTAATGATTTTAATCCCAAAAATTAAATCTGCCAAATTATTTTTTTGACAATCTTCAGGATGATATAATCACTTAATTACACATAAGAATCATCTATCATATAAATATATACATGTATAAATATTTTGTTTGGAAACTAAAATCCTTAACTTTCTTCCTTCAAAAAAAAAAAAATAAAGAAAAAATCCTTTAACTTTCTCAGTGAGTTGTTTTGATAATTTTTGTTGCTGCAAGTCGATCAATCCTTCACTTTTAATATGAACCATTGCTTGAGAAACAACTTTTAAAAACTCAATCAAATAGCAATCTACAGTTACGAGATGCGATGCAAACTCTAACTATTGCAAATCAAAGTTTATAGATGATCGGCTCATTGTCTTCGTCATCGTCATCAAGGAAGGATTCGTATCCTTCATCTGAGACGTGGCTCGCTAGCAAACCCCTTTGTCGGCAACCATACCCATCCATGATGTTGGCTTCCATCTTCACCAAGCCTTTCTCGGTCAGTGCAAATCCATGACCGGGGATGGAGAATGACCGGGTCAATCTCCAATTCTCGCACAACGAGTTCGACAACATCGATAGCGGGGAGAGAGCAGCGGACGAAGCCAGAGCTCAGGTTTTCATTATTCATTGATAATATACAGAGCACTCGTGCTAATAACGTGTTATAAAATAAGCGAGAATTATAAGCAACAATAAAAGGAGATGGAGAAAAGAAAGAGATTCTTATTCATCATTTCAATGGACATATGATAAAAGTATATATAATATACATTTGTAAGGGAATACAATAATAATAAACATAAAGCTACAACAGTGGCCTTAAAAAAAAAAGCTACAACAGTTACATAATCAATGCCCATAACGTCCACAATAAATTATCCTTATAATATTTTAAAATTGAATACCAAAAATGAAATATTGTTATAATTGAGGTATACATTTAGAATAAACTGTTTCGAAAATTAATAGCAAATGCGTCACTTAGAATAATTGAACCAAACAAATAAAATGATACAAATGAAACGAAAACAATACTATTCTTTCAAATAATATACTTTTTATATATTAAAAATATAACGGAGTATATTTTATTCATGGTCCAGCCACTTAGACTATAATCTATGAAAGCCACTTAGATTATAATCTACGAAAGAATGATTGGTGACTGTCTACCTAAGCAACTTATCTGGTTCTTGAATACCATTAATAGATTATGATATGAAGCCCGGGGCTAGGAAATTTGATATATATATATAATTGCCAGTTGGAGATCTTTCTTGGTGGGAGCCTGGGAGGGAATGGTGATTTAGCTTTTGATGAGAATGGGAAGAGGATCATGGGTTTGTACTTTATCCACTCAGGTGGCTCTCTGCTTTGCTCTTTACCTTGTTCTCAACACGGGACAGTTCCAGAGGTCTCTCTATGGCGACATTGATTCTGTGGGCACGTATTTCATCAGTGTTTCAGGGGGTTTTAGGCCTCTTCAAGAACAGATCCATCTTCTCAAGCAGGTCAGTTTCGCACTTGCTTTGTGTAATCCCTTTTAACTGTTTGACGAAATGCGTCGGCTTGTGATGATGTTTGCTAGTAAGTTGAATTTGTTTAGTGGGTGTTGCCGATTGGATCTGTATTTGTGGCAAGAAGTGAGGAAGTTGATTTCCCGGTAGATTTGATTTTAAAGCTTATATCAAATCAATTTGCATTATAAGAGGGAGCTGGAAGCTGATTAGATACACTATGTAATTCATTCATAGTTTCTGCTTCTTAAATTGTACTTTTTAAAAAAAAAAATTATTTCTTTAAATGGCACATTGACTTTTAATCTCTAATCAAACAGTACACCTTGAAGAGAATGGTGGTGTTTGGTAAATAACTGTTAGCTGCCTGATTTGGTTAGTGAGCTTGACTAGTTTGATAGTATTAGCTGATTGTAGAAAGATGTTTGGTAAATTAGCTATTAACTGATAGCTGATTACATACAAAATGACTTTCTCAAAAAGTTGATTGAAAAAACTATTTTGAGCAACTTTTTGAATTTTTGTGTTTTGGAGCAATAAGCTATTACAAAAAGCTAATCAATCAAACACTCATATTGGTTGTTTAACCAAGTCAAACAACTAATAGTGATCAAAAAGGTCAAAATTGGCTGATAGGCCAACAGCATTGCCCATAAGTCCATAACCAGGTAGGGGCATTTTCTAGATTATGAAAAGATTTGAGTTTGCACCCTATCTTCCTGGCCCTGTTTGAAACTAACATGCATTTAATTAGAAATATTGCTTACAACTTATCTTTCTATATTTATGGATTACCTGTTTTGACTGGAAATTATGATGTTGCATGAAGATGGAGATGGTTGCAAAGAAGAACAGAGCTAAATATGTGATCAACATTAGTGAACTTGGAGAAGGTGATCCGCTCATGCAAAATGTAAGGCGATTGATGATTAATCAAAACCAAAAGATTCTAACACTTGTATGCTGAGCTGACCCTATTATTACCGTTAGAATCTGACATAGATTCTTTTGTTTATATTTCTTAAACAGGCAACCCAGTATTACCAGTCACTAGAAGTTCCATGGTAAGCTATCCTTTTGGCAAAATCCTTTTTTTTCTCCCTTCACCTCTCTTGTAGATTCTCCAGCTGACATGGCTCCTTTATATTTACATTCTACAAGTAGATTCTTGATTTTGTTGTGTTTAAGAAATCATCTTTCCTACTTCGCATCAGCTGTCCTTAGCTTGTAGGTATACAGTTCAAGCTTTGAAAGGAAAAAGTGGAAATTACTACCTTAAACACATTGAAGTCACTCATGGACGTACCTTAGACCTTATTGCTATAGATACTACATTATATCAGGTTTTGTTCTTGTTCTCTATATTATTATACATCGGCTAAATTGCTTTTCTTTAGTGGCTCGCAGGTTATAAGTATTAAATAGGGTGTGAATCACAAAGTGATTTCGAGAAATCGTCTTCAATTAGTGCAATTAGTTAACTTGTATGGCATGAAATGTAAAAACTTAATTGCAGATACATCTTTCATAATAGTCTTGAGTTCTATGGACCCTTAGCATCATATAATATACATTTATGAAATGGCCTCTAGTGCCTGCATGGGTAGCTCAACTGGTCATAGAGGTGAAACTTTTAAAGAATGACCAGGGATCGAGTCTCACCAACGGCAGTGTGGGAGCAACCTTTCAAAGTGAGGGGGGCTCCTTGTGCGCAGTGAGCACGTGGTTCATGTTCAATTGAGTCGCCATGATTTACATCCTCCCAAATGCTCTGGCCGCTAGTTGTCTAATTATGTTTCCCATTTTATTTTTTATTTTCCTAAGTTGGAAAGAATGACCAGGGATCGAGTCTCACCTTTTTTATTTTCCTAAGTTGGAAAGAATGACCAGGGATCGAGTCTCACCAGCGGCAGTGTAGGAGTAACCTCTCAAAGTGAGGGGGGCTCCTTATGCGCAGTAAGCAAATGTCTAGTCTCTGTGGTTCATGTTCAGTTGAGTTACCATGATTTACATCCTCCCAAATGCTCTGTCAGGCCGGGGTGTGGGGGGCTCTTAGGGTTGGGTTCAATCCTTTGGAAAGAATAAAATGACCAGGGATCGAGTCTCACCAGCGGCAGTGTAGGAGCAACCTCTCAAAGTGAGGGAGGCTCCTTATGCGCAGTAAGCAAAGGTCTAGTCTCTGTGGTTCATAGGTCTAGTCTCTGTGGTTCATGTTCAGTTGAGTTACCATGATTTACATCCTCCCAGATGCTCTGTCAGGTCGGGGTGTGGGGGGCTCTTAGGGTTGGGTTCAATCCTTTGGAAAGAATAAAATGACCGCTAGTTGCCTAATTATGCTTCCCATTTTATTTTCTTGATCGGATTGCACTTGCTGAAATTACACGAGCTTCTTGAAATTTTCAGGATGTTTCAAGCAGTAAGAAAGATGACCAACTAAAATGGCTCATAAACATACTTGAAGACAGCCAAAGTTATTGGTACATTTAGATATCATCATTTTTAACAATAAACGAGAGCAAATTGGTCACAATAACTATAGCTTGCCTGTTCTTTTGTTCTTGCTTTATTGCATGCAGGCACATTGTTGTGGGTTTTCATCCATTGGTAGCCTGTGGTGAAGATGTTAAGGACAGGAAAATAGAGAAAAGCTTTGAGCCTTTAATTCATACATTTCTCAAATATGGAGTGGTAAGACAAGTTCAAAGTGAACCATTTACTTTCAGATTAAAACAAAACAAAAATCGAAGTTGCTTAAAAACCATGAGAATGCAAGAAATTTTGATAATCCTGTCATACTATTAGATATCAGCATATCACGGATCCATCCGCAGAGACTGAATACTTGTTGTTTACCATTTTAGAATGCGTATCTTAGCAGGAAAGCTTGTAATAACTCTGTCGATAAAGGTGGTCTTGATGATTCGAGCAATGTAAGTCGTGTCTATGGACCAGACATGATATCAGCAAATCAAGAATTCCTTTACAGCATGTAAGTTTTCCTTCCCACCATTCTGGAAACTCTACCTGAGACTAATTTGCATATCCATTGTGCCATAACTATCTTTTTCATGTTTGTGGTTCTGTCAGGGAAATAACAAATGGTTTCCTTCTCCATAAAGTCACTGATTTTGAAATTGTGAGTACTAGAAAGTTGGGTTTTTTACGAATGAATTACCAACTCTGTATGTATCTCTGATATGGTGGATGAAGGAAGAAGCATAATCTATTCTATTCTCTCCCTTCTGTGCCACAGGTAACCTACTTCGTTACATCTGAAGGGGATTTCGTGCGAAAGGTTGCTCTTCAACCACCAAGGGGTAAAGCAAATATGTAGTGTTCATGCTCGTACTGGCTTAGCTCAATAGTCTAGTCGGCAGTATTTGGGAGAAGAGACTAAAGTTCGGCGGCAGTGTGGGGATTATGCCTCCCTTGTGCGCACAGGCATTTGGCCTTGTCTGCTGAGCTATTAAGTCACCGTGATTTATACTCTCAAATGCTCTGTGAAGTGGAGTGTGGAGGGCCTTCTGGGAGAAGGGAATATGTAGTGTTCATTGTTCAGGAAGTGACTCATTGTCTATCATTCTATTCTTTAATGCTTTTGCCATTTATACTGTGCTCATTTATATCCACAGTTTCCCTTCTTGTCAATTGAGGCCATTTTATTCCATCTTTTAGTTGTCACATTTGGTTTTGTGGATTTAGAATTATGTTCATGAATAATAAATAATAATTTTCATGAAGAAAATAAATCAAATATGGAATAGTACATTTATACTTAGGAAAATGATGAATTAACTATAAGTAATTCTAGCTTACACTTATATCTACTATACTAATAACCATGAGGGGGTGATTTAGTGGAATGGACTTATTCATTCTTAACCAAAGGTCAAGGGTTCGATCCCGCTTTGGAAATGAAATAGCCTTAAATCTCCAATGCAGCAGGGTCAATTTTTTTCCCCCTACCCATTATTGAATGGCCCAAATTAACCGTTAAAAATAAAATACGGTAATTAATAAAAGTTTATGAATTTTTATAAAGTATTATTATAAATTTAAAAAAAATTTGAACGATTTTATAAAAATCATTCAAAGTTTATTAAAATCTATAATTTTAAAAATTTTAAAAACAAAAAATTATAATAAAGAATAATTTTCTAAAGTGAATGAGCCTTTATGGCACTATAGAATATAGATGAAAAGATATTACTCCTTAGTCTGTAGTCTGTAGTCTGTAGTATATTCGAAAATGGAAACACGTTACTCTATATAATTTTAAATAAAAATTTACACTGCTTAGTGCGATTACTCCCAGAGTTCAAGATGGTTGTCGTTTTACGATCCATAGCGAAATCGTTTGAGCAAAAATTCTTGAAACAATCAAAACCCTACATTTCTTCTCAGCTAATCACTCACCTCAATTCTTTGAATTCCAATTCCCAAGTTCAACGATGGCAATTTCAGAACAGGCGCACTCTCATCTTAGAGCCAGTGACGTCTCAATCCATAAAGTTAGAGCAGCTCTCCGACTCTGATTCTGGTAAATACTCATTGGAACTGTGGAAGTTAATTTCCATTTTCTTCGATATTTGTAGTACTGATTATTCGTAGAAGTTAGTGGAGTCTACAAATTTGCTATGTCAATGTGGAAAAGAACCAGTGAACTGTGATTTACGCTTAAGTTATTAATATTAATTTAAAGTTGTTAATGGATAGGGATTTTGGAGCTTAAGTTGGATAGGCCGGACAGAAAGAATGCGATCGGGAAGGCTATGCTAAGAGAGTTAAGGCATGTGTTTGATAGAATAAACAATGAGCGTTTGGCTAATGTTTTAATGATCAGCAGCTCCGTTCCGACAGCATTTTGTGCTGGTGCTGATTTGAAGGTAAATTGTTGACATCTTTTTATTTTTTTCGTTTTTTAGTTATGATTTTTGTGTAAACAGAGGCCTTGATGACATATAATGATGATATTTAATTACTTTCAACAAATAAACAAAAAAACAAAAATAAAAATTGACTTAAAATAGTGGTAAATGGCTAAATATTCTTTCATAGTGGATTTGAATAACTGCAAGTGGCATAACAGTGTATTGAGGATTAGTTGCATAGCTTTAGTTTAACACTAATGGTGTCCCTTTTTTCAATAGGAAAGCTTCTTTTTTTTTTTTTTCTGTGTACTTTCTAGTAGCAATGGCATAGCAGAACCTATCTTTTCCGGGAGAAAGTCCTTTTCCACTCTGTATACTTTCTATTTTCTATGACATGTTACTTGCCAGTAACTGCCATCAGTTGAGTCCTACTGCCTAACACTTTATGTCTTTATAGTAAGAGATTGAGGGTAATTGCATTGTATCAATTCCCTGTGGGTTTGACCCTTGCTTTTGCACAATATTACTACAGTGATCCGTGCACTTGCGAGGACATATTAAAATTGTCCATCACTGCCTAACACTTTATTATGTCTTTATAGTGAGAGATTGAGGGTAATTTTTAGAAACTAATATTTCATTGCTACTAGAAGTTTCAGACTACAGAAGCAGTAAATTTTGGGCCTTTTCAGGCAATGTTGGTTATTCACTTATTTGCAATTAGACTTAGGTAATCTGCTAAGTGCAGATTTCTCACCTCTTTTTTTGGGTATTTCATTGGTGCAGCTACCTTTTTCTATAACCTGAGCTCATGGAGTTGATAGAATTCTTTCTGCCATTTTAGAAAACCTGAGTCAATGGTGTTCATTTATAGAAAACTTTTCTGCCAAGTTTTATAGAATTCTTTCTGCCAATTGCTCATCATGCTACCTCTTTTAATTTCCTGTCGGTATGTTACATAGCAAAAGAAGCTTAGCTTCTCAAATGATTCCATGGCACCATCTTGAAGCAACGTTTGAAGCTCCATCAAATGCTTCTTGACGATGGTGACCTTATCCTCAGCCTCTTATCCCATGTTAGCTAGCAGATTAGATAGTCATGTCACTGCATATTGATCCAGTCACACTTGCTGTTCAATGTTCATATAATTAAGCAAATAACTTTCTGCTGATTATTTTTCCTATTTTATTTGTACCTATGGATGGCTAGTTCACTAGTTTGATGGACTTTTTGATATTCTAATTGTGTCTGTAGGAGAGAAAGACAATGACTTCATTGGAAGTCCAGGAATTTGTGAACACTCTTCGGTCAACATTCTCCATGCTGGAGGTCTGTTTTTTATGATAGCAATATTTTTACTAATTATATGTGATTCTTTATAATTTAGCATCTGAAGTTTTTTTCATGTCATATTTTGCTCTGTTTCTGTTCATTTCTTGTTCTTTGGAACATAAATGAAGGGACCTAAAATTTTACTTCTTTATAACTTCTATGATTTGTTGACAATTTCATCTCTGTATTTAGGCACTTTGTATTCCTACAATTGCTGCTATTGATGGTGCAGCCTTGGGTGGAGGACTGGAAATGGCATTATGTTGTGATCTCAGGGTTTGTGGTAAATTACTCTATCTGTGACTCCAAAGTTATTGTACTTGTTTCTGCTTCGTCTATGAAGTTGTTATCTTAAATGTTACACAGGGGAGGCTGCAGTTTTTGGCTTGCCAGAAACAGGACTTGCCATCATACCTGGGTATGTCTCTTTGTATCAATTGAAGCCCCCTCACGTGGACCGGTTACTTTTTGATAGGCTCCAAGCAACAGTTGGACCATAGTCTCTTTTTTATCGGGTAACGTGGAGATTCGAACCCATGACCTTTGGTATGGGATTGGCTCTGATACCAAATTGAAGCATGTGGTCTATCTCAACTAAAAGCCTAAGTTATAGTTGGATTGCACATTTATGTTTATATATTATATACTCAACAGTATTAAACCAAACATGCAACATCTGTAATGTGTTTTGTATATGACCATGTGACTATATGCATTGATTGTGTTCTGACTTGCATTGGACAAGTGGAGCTTTCCATTATTCAGTTGTGATTCAAAGGATCTTATGATATGCTTTCTCTAGAGGTTTAAATCTTTAAAACACAATATGCTTATAGTTGAAAGACTTGTTGCTGATTCTGTCGTATAATTTGGCCTTTTTCCAGAGCCGGTGGGTCACAACGGCTTCCTAGATTGGTTGGAAAATCAGTAGCAAAGGATCTCATTTTTACTGCTCGAAAAATTGATGGAAAAGAAGCCTTACTGATGGGTTTGTCATATTTCGGGATTTGGTTGTACTTTTGCCTTGTTCCTAAGTTCCCAGTACTTACAAGACCATTTTTCATGCAGGGCTGGTCAATTATTGTGTTCCTGCTGGTGAAGCCCGTCTAAAGGCACTTGAAATTGCTCAGGAAATAAATCAGAAGGTACAAGCTAAGCTGCATGGTTTTAATTTGTTAAAGGAATAAATGCTCCCTTCCAAAAAAAAAAAAAATGCTCCCTTCCATTTAACCAACTCGATCTTGTACATCGAAGTTACCATACTATTTCTATGCTGTAGTGTTAAAATAGAGACCGTGATAGATAGCAACAACCATATATACAAAGGATTGGTGTACATGCACGCTAATATCTCCTGTACGTTTCAGGGACCGCTTGCAATAAAGATGGCAAAGCGCGCTATTGACAAAGGATTTGAGGTGGATTTGGAATCGGGTTTGGGATTGGAGGAGGATTGCTACGACCAACTTCTGAACACAAAAGATCGGTTAGAAGGCCTTGCAGCGTTTGCTGAGAGACGAAAACCCAGATATACAGGTGAATAAACCACACACCAGATTTAGCAAAACCCAGCCCTTACTACCATTGACATTAAACTATTTCTTGTATTGCCTGGATTCATTATTATTTAACATTCCATCTTCTATGCTATTTAATCCCCTTGTAAACAGGATATTACTATAGCTTTTTTTTTTAGTTAGATTAGAGTTCCATCTGAATAAAGTAATGTTTATTTCAAAATCATGTCCTTGTTCCTTACATCTTGATTATTTAATTTATTGCATTCTTTTGATTTCCAGGAAGGCCGTGCCTTCCATTGGACTTTACTCTAGGAGATGCTTAGTAAATGGCAGATTACCATTCAATTTGCTAAAATTCGTTACGGTGAAAATAGTTTAGGTTGAAGATTAGTTACACATATTAGGGTGTGTTTGGTTTGCACATGGGAATCGGAATCGGAATGGGTATCAAATACTTGGTACTGGTAATGGATTTTGGTGAAAGTATTTAACATGTTTGGTAGTAGGGTGGAATGCGAATGGTTACTAATAGTAGTGCTTGAGAATGAATAAAGGAATGAAACCCTTATTTTATTTGGGTATGAGTTTTTCAATTGATGGGGTATTCGAAATCCATAGTAGTGTTCTAAAAACCTATCAACCAAACAATAACAATCACTTTCATACACATTCCTATGGGCAAAATCCTATCAACCAAACACATCCTTAGTTTAAAAGATTACTTCACCTACTGTTTAATAATAAATTACACACATATAATGTAAATTTAGAACTTATTTACCCCATATCATTATCATTTAATTGCATCGTAGACGCACATGTAGGAATAGTAATACTAATAATTTTGCGGGATGACGAGTATGTTGAGCATGATTCTCATACTTAGGGTTTTTTTAGTGCAATTTACTTGTCATATGTTGTTTTCTGAATTTATCAATGCCTACTCTTAACTAGTGGTTGCAGGTTTTCCTTGTCATCTAAACAACAACGTAACACCCAAAGAGACACCTTTGCATATGTTAACGGTCATGTTTTATCATACCATTTGAAGAAAATATATTTATCTAAGTAATACTTGTAGTACTCAAAAAAAGAAAAAAGAATTTTTTAAAATTTTAATTAATAATGTATAATTTAAAAATGAAGGTATAATGTGTGTGTTTTATGTATTTTACTATTTGAAAAAGTAATGCTCTTTTTAATTCTTTTTGAAATATTAATTAAGGGACGACAAAGATTAAAGAGTGCCACTTTTGTAAATTAATAGGGTTAGTAGTGGAAATAAATTAATTAAAATTCAAAGTTTATTTGAAAGAATGCTATGGGGATAAATTTTCTAAATAAATTATATATATGCTACTTTTATTTTTCATTTTTGGACGACATATTCTCCCCATCTCTCCTTGCTTTGTCATGTTTTTTATTTTGAGATTTTTGTTAGTCCCGATGGATTTGGGTTACAAGTACAATCTAGAGAGGAGTGAATAGACTTATATAATTTTTGAAAATATTATTTTTCAAAAACCCTAGTTCAAGTTTCCTTTAACAAGAAGTTAACTATAAGTAAATTTTTATATATAAAGAGTAACATAGCAAAAATTCTTTGTATCTTTAAAAGTTTAAGTTTGGTAATGCATAAAGTAGAAGAGAGACAAAAGATTTTTATAGTGATTGGATCAAAATCCAGCCTACTCCATTATTCTCCTAACACTCCTAGGAGGATTGCACTATGATATAGTAGTACACTTATAGATTATTTAAGCCTTGATCACAAAATTGGCCTCAAGTCTCAACTACTTGTTACTCCGTCTATTTCTACTCAACAATAGAGGATAGTTGATTGAACACAAAGAAGTTCAATATCTCCAACGCTACAATGGCGGAGTGATGGGCGATCATGAAGGGATTAGAGTGGGCTTGGAGAAAGGGGGTTCGAAATATATGTGTTCAATGTGATTCAAAAAAGGTGGTAGAGTGGATAGAAGGGAATGACAAACATAATGGCCGAATGAGGAACATTGTTGATAGATGCAAGATATGGAAAAATATGAGTTGGTAGATCTCTTTTCAGAGCATTTACCGGAAGCAGAATAGAGTCGCTGATATTTTGACTAAAAAAGTTAGTCACAAGACGACCAAGTGGATTTAATAGGACCATCCTAGCTCCAAGCGATCGACATCATGACGGGAATCTTAGATGATAAGGTTCGGATGTCATGCAACGACCGAGAGATCAGCATAGGGTGTCATATGTAGGGCTCGGGCTTGGTCCTCCGTTAGATCGATTTTATAATTTAAAAAAAAAAAATCTTAATTGTTTGCACTTGTATACTTTCTTTCACAAAATGACCAACACATCATTTTTAAGTTTGAATGGAGGTAGTTATAGACCCATTTGAATTTGTCTGTTGGAAGAAAACAAATTCAAACGTTTATTAACCTTCATGTATTGACCAATGGGTAATTGGTAGGTTGCTTTTTGCTTAGATTTCTAAGGGCATCCACAATAGTTGGTGATTTTACCCCACATTTTTCATTTTGCACGAAGAAGAATTCATCAAAATCTTCTCTTCCCATTTGTGAAAAGCTTGACAAAGAAAATTATACTGTTCCAAAATCTCTCCAAAATTCCCTTTTGGGGATGCCCTAATTGTTGCTTCTACTTATTGTGTTTGCTTCCTTGCTTTCTGCACTGCACCTTTTGTTTTTGCCTTTTTAAGAAATCTTCCTTAGAGCATCCACATTTGTTGGGGAGAATAGGGAGATAATGTAAGAGTGATTAGGAAAGAGAAGATGGGAGGGGAGAGAAAAAAAGGAAAAAAAAAAAGAAAATTAAATTAAAAAAAAAAAATTGAGACTGTTAGGCGCGTGCACTGCACGCGCCCGCAGTGCGCTATGGTGACAGCCACGCGTGGCTGTCACCTGTGGTTCTTTATTTTTATTTTTGTGGTGGGTCCCACCATTTCTGAAATCTTTCTTCATTTGCAGGAGAATTATTTCTCAAATAATTCTCCCCCACATTAGCTATTATCTTGGGTGTGGTGAATTAATACTGCAATCTCCCCATATTATCTACTGATGTAGATGCTCTTAAGACGTGTACATAGATCAGAACTCATTTTTCCTTGGTAACATTCTTCTTGCATCTCATTTTTATGAAATCTTTCTTGAAATGTGTATATAGGAGCAGGGACGGAGCCAGAAATTAGGTTGAGGGGGGGCGAAGAAGTAGGGACAATTCAAAAAAAAATAAAAATTCAAAGGCGAAACATTAAAACAAAAGAGATAATTTAAAAAAATAAATAAATTACCTAAGAAATATAATTGTAAATATTGTTGGATATGGGCGAAAAATAAAACACATCGAAATTTTATAAAAATATTCATAACAAAATATTAAAAATAATTAATTTGATTTAAAAACACTATAAAAATATGTTGATGCTAAAGGATTCGAACTATGAAACATAATTAAATTGAACTAAAAACGCTATAAAAATATGTTGATGCTAAGATGATTTGAACTCTTAATTATAATCTTTACAATTGTTAAACATGTACTCAACCAACTAATCTAACTCATTCTTGTTGACATTTGATAGTTTTTTTATACTAATACTAAAACTTGTACTATATATACATATATACATACAAAGATTATATATGGAGTGGGGATGGGGGTAGGGTGAGGGGGGCAGCCGCCCCCTGTCCTCTTTGGCTCCGTCCCTGTATAGGAGCTATCTTGAGCACTCGTCACCCCTTATGGGTATTAAAAGACGTCATTAATTAAGAGATCAACTGGTCTATTTTAATTTTTGTAAATATTACGGAGTAATGAACTAAATTCCATATTATCACTAAAATACTGTATTTACAAGTCTTAAACAAATTGAGAATAAGATCTCGGGACACATAAAATAAAATAAAAAATTGCTGATTTGTACTTGTATTTTAATTTTTTCCACATAATCCACACCAATATTTCAGGGGCTTTTATTACTCCGTATTATACAAATGTGCTGGACCAGCAACTTATTGTATTAGTATATATTATATAATATGACAGATTAAATAATTTTTAAAACATTCTTAGCATGCCGTGTTTGACTGCTTTACATTTGTTTTCTATGTAAATAATAAACATAGTTTATTAGTTTTTTTTTTTTTTTTTTTTTTTTTTTTTTGCACATTATCCACACACCAATGACACCATTATTACAGGGGCTGCGCTTTTATTATATTATTATTATCCAATTCAAAAGTGCTGGACCAGCAACTTATTATATTATCTAATATGATATCTTTAAACACATTGGGTTACATCAAACCCTTAATACAACTTTGCAAGTATTATTATTATTATTATTATTATTATTATTGTTATTATTATTATTATTATTATGTTTCTTTGTTTCAATTAATTTTACAAATTAATACGATCTCATATTAAATAGATAGGCACTACTCTAAGCGAGTGTTAGCTCCAATAAAAAAATTTATGAAAGAGAATATAAAGATAGAGTGTAAGGAAATGTATAAAATACTGTATTACCAAGACTATGTAGTCTAATGGTATCTGGGTTGGACTTCCATTTGGAAGGTTGTGAGTTAGAGTCTCAGTGGAGGTATTATTGGTTATTTGTGTTTCAGTAGGTTAAGAAAGTATATGAACACTGTATTATTATTTCAGTTCACTAATTTTACACTTTTACATTACCGTAGAGGTCTCGAACAGGCGGGTTTGCACCAGACTGGTCTAGCTCATTATTGATCCGTTTATTTTTTTGAATTGGACCGGCTCGGTCCAAAAAATGAAAATTAAAGTCCGGCCCGGTTTAAAGTCCGAAAAATAAAAATAAAAATAGAAAAAATATTAAAAATTATATATCAATTCATTTAAATTATGTTTTTTTTTCTAACCCGTCTTATAAAGACTAGCCGACAAATGACCACAAGGAAGTGAACAAACCTAAGTTGACCATAATATAACAACTCATATTATGAATCCACTAAAGCGCGAACATATCACCTCCCACATAAAAGAGCAATATGATACCATTAGACTACAAGATCCTTGATTTCTATTCCCATTTTACATATCATATCATTCTTCAATTTACATTTTAAGAAATAATACTTTAGAGTGAATGTTGAAAAATAATTTTAGTAAAATAAAATTGTAGCGTGATCCCATGATGAGACACACATACGCTACCTGGT